AAAAATTGCGGACTGCCGCCTTCTACACTAGCGGTTTAGGGTTTAGGGTTTAGGGCTTAGGGCTTAGGGCTTAGGGTTTAGGGTTTAGGGTGCAGCTTCTGTCTGCTTCGACAAAGCATCCGCCACAAGGCATGCCTCCTCCTTCATCACGGCGTACCTGGGCTTTCGGTGCAGGGTTGAGCTGTTAACACCTCGAAGAACCCATACATGAGTACTTGCGACTAAGGTACCCTAATAGGATTATAGAGTAAACATAAAGCTGTTTACGTAACTAAACTCTGAATCCAACCCCTAAACCCCTGACCCCTTGTTTGGAGTGCCTGCGTTTACGGCTCACGTTCTAGCTACCACGATCTCACCCTAAACCCTAAACCCTAAACCCTAAACCCTGCACTCCTGAAAGACAGTTGAGCTACAGCTCCCCATGGCTGTTCACCTCCTGCACGAGGCTGCCACAGCTGCTGTACAGCCGGCAAACCTCACAAGACCCCCTTAGCGCTACCTAAAGGCCGGGTTTAGGGTTTAGGGTTTAGGGTTTAGGGTTCAGGGTTTAGGGTTTAGGATCCCAGTACCTTGTTGGGGTAGTGCACTAGAATCCCTGACTCCCTAGCCCAACAAGGGACGATGCACATCAGGGCCCGACCTAAGGAACCTTTAAGTTGGGGATAGGATTAGGGGGACCCTTGGGGATATAGACCCTCTGAATAAGGTCCCTGTTTACGAGAGCCAGAAGAGCGTTAAGAAGGGGTTCCCTTTTAAGGGTCCCCCTCATCCTACCTAGGATTAAGGCTTTGTATGCCATGAAAAATCATGAAGAACGGGGAAATGCACCGCACTGTGCATTAGGAACATGTCCTGTTTAAAGGGTATCTTGGTCACTCTTACCCTAAACCCTAAACCCTAAACCCTAAACCCTAAAGCCTAAAGCCTAAACCCTAAACCCTTACTCCGAGTAAGCCTTACTCCTCTTCAAGCGCACGGGCTAGGGAGTCATAAGGGACCGGTCAGAGTCTATGGATTTCGGCTCAAGCTGCGGGGCCTCTGCATATGGCGGAAATGATGGTCCCTTATTGGGGCCACTGCTGTAGCGCGATACCTTGTGTGTAGGGGAGCACCTCTGAAAGGATGCGCAGGCGGTGCGAGCTGCTTGCGGTGTGCTTATGAAGGGAATCTTGCCTACGAAGTGGCTGCGGGGCGGCTTTTGCGAAGTGCTTACAAAAGCCAAAGGCCGAACTTGCGATTTGCTTTGTCTAAGAACCCCGAAAACCCCTGAACCCTAAAACTGCCTAAAACCTACACCCTAAACCCTAAACCCTGAACCCCAAACCCTGAACCCCAAACCCTGAACCCCAAACCCAGTTTTCTTGGTGACGCTCGGAGTCAAAAAGGCGGTGCTGGTGCGAGCTTCTGTGGTCTTGAAGTCATGGAGCCATGCAGTGAGAGCCCTATATAGACCCCTACCCCGAGCAATAACATGCTCAACCCCAAACGCTTAAACTCTCAAAAGCCTCAAAATCTTGGAGATTCCCAAATGGCACCTCCGACCGATCCCGAAAGAGTGGGTTGAGGGTGTAAGGTTCACGTCCTAAACCCCAAACCCCAAACCCCAAACCCCAAACCCCAAACCCCAAACCCCAAACCCCAAACCCCAAACCCTAAACCCTAAACCCTGAACCCGAGTCTGGGCGCCGTCATGTCGGTGTAGCTCCCCGTGAAGTAGAAACCACAATCTGCCCCTGCACCGGACATTTCGTGCTTTTTTCTGAAAGGTTTGGGGTTTAGGATCAAAGCTTACCTATCACCTCACTACCACGAGAACAAGAGGTGACTAGACCTTATTAACTGCTGACTCTTGCGTGCAGCTATGCTTTCCTAAGGGTGCAGAGGTTACCGCGGGGGTCCTAAACCCTACCCTCCCGTCACTGTTTGTCACTGCAGCCACGCACACATACACGTGCTCGAAGAGTCAGGGAGTATGGTGGACAAAAACAAAACTAAAGACATCTTCAGCATCTTTCTCCGATGCGGTAGATATGTTTCTAGTATGCATCTTGAACTCTATCTCAGTGAGCTCTATCTCAGTGAAACAAATTCTGGTTGTTGCTAGAGCTATAGGGAAAGATGCGTGCGATGTAGAGGGACTTTTCAGAAGCCACGCCAGTTGAGCAATTACCTACTTCACTTTTCAGAAGAACGGACGGCATACCTGAAAAGCAAACCGGGGAAGTAGCTGGCGGTTTAGAGGGTCTAACTGAAGGCTCCTATGTAATTCCTCTTTTGGGTTAGTTGAAAGGGATTCTAGTATACTTTCCCCCCCCCCCCCCCCCCCCCCAAAGACACTACAGAGGAGCCGTTGGGTTGTTTACGAAGGCTCTAATGTGGTTTCTTGTTTTGGTTAGATATAGGCCGAAACCTACTTTTTTTGGAGGTTACCTAAGAATCCTACAAGGGTTTTATAAGAAGAACCTGCAAAAAAGTATTTCTTTTTTGTTCTAAAGGTAGGGCTTAGGGTCTAGGGTTTGCATACTTCTGACATGCCTTATCCCCGAAATAAAACCACCACCCAGAGGCCACAAAGCTGTCTCAGGCCACGAACCCGAAATCTAAACCCCAAGCTCCCTAAACCCCTAAACCCTAAACGAAATCTAAAACCCCAAGCTCTTTTTTGGGGTTTAGGGTTTAGGGTTTAGGGCTTTTAAAACAACTCCAGAAGCCCACGGAATGCCTAAACCTTGCGAGCGCGAAACCCTGATCAGCCCGAAGCACCCTGGCACCCAGGGTTTAGGGTTTAGGGTTTAGGGTTTAGGGTTTAGGGTTTGGACCCTAAACCCTTTCGGCCCTAAATCCTGCCTCCACTGGAGTGATCTCCACTGCGGCATGCCATCTCGCAGCCCTCCGCGCCAACGTCGACCTTGGCGACACAGACAGCTTGATCTGGAGTTGAAGGGTTCGGGGTTTAGGGTTTAGGGTTTAGGGTTTAGGGTGGTCAGTTCTCAACAATAGGTCCCTTTTTGTGGTTCCCCAAATATGAGGGGCCGCCTTATAGTCAGGACTCAAAAAAACCTTAACGTAGAGAAACGGCCATTAAGGTTTAAGATTTACCCAAAGGCTCCTATGTGACACCTCTTGAGAGTTTTGGAGTAGTATGCTAGAATCCCCTATAACTATCCCAAAATAAGCAACTACATTAAAGCCTTCAAGTTACCGTAAACCATAAACACTGAATCTTGAACCCTAAACTCTATGGACCCTAAAAGAATTACATTCGCGCCTTCAGGCAAACCCTAACCTAAACCCTAAACCCTAAACCCCAAACCCTAAACCCTAAACCCTTAAGGATTTCAAGGCTTGGGACTCCATGTTCAGGGTGTGTTGGTGTTGCTCCTCTTGTGGGGGATTTGCAGATTTAGGGCTTAGGGTTTGGCGTCCCGAAACCCTAAACCCTAAACCCTAAACCCTAAGTTGAGGGCACCACCTGGAGCCTCGAGATGCGTCGAGTCCGAGAGTTTCGGGCTGATACTCCCCCGGAGAGAAGGGGACAAGGGGTATACCATTAAGGGTTTAGGGTTTAGGGTTTAGGGTTTCGGGTTTAGGGTTAGGAATTTAGGGGTTTAGGGTTCAGGGTTCAAGGCTTAGGGGGTTTAGGGATTTAGAGTTTAGGGTTTAAGGTTCAGGGTTTAGGGGGGGGCCTCACCAAAGCAGAATGAAGGATAGGACGACCGCAGTGCAAATCACAGGCTCATGCTGCGACTCCCCCCAAAAAGCGTTCGGGATTTGTGAGGTATACCGTTTACGGTTTAGGGTTAGGATATAGGGTTTAGGGTTCAGGGAGGGCTTTGTGGAGCTTATTCTGGGAGCGACCCAAGCCTCTGAAACCGAACCAAACCCAAAACCCGACCAAGGCCCCAAGGCCCAACAAGATTTTATGGTTTAGGGCTCTGGGTATAGGATTTAAGGGCTAAAAAGCTTAGGAGCTACGCCCCAATTGTAACCCTAAACCCGAAGCCCCAGAGGTTTGCCAATTTCCTCCGAGTTCAACGCGAATTTGGCAAGCGCCCGCAAGGTCTCATCTACAAGAGCTTACACAGATCTACCCCAAGTTTCTACTTGCCTTCAATGTTTTCGATGTATGTACATAGACAGCATAAATATACTTATTATGCATATATAGATATATATATATGTATGTATGTGTGTATGTGTGTATGTATGTATGTATGTATGTATGTATGTATGTATGTATGTATGTATGTATGTATGTATGTATGTATGTATGTATGTATGTATGTATGTATGTATGTATGTATGTATGTTTCTTTATTTATTTACTTTTATAAACAAACACACACTAGCTTGGCCCTGTAAGCCCTCTAGACACCCAGCCCTAAATCCATCTTTTTCCTAGACGAGATAGCGGTTTAGGGCTTAGGGCTTAGGGCTCAGGGCTTAGGGTTTAGGGTGATAATCTTAAGCCAAACATGCATAAGGGCTCCCGGGGTTTTGACCCTAAAGCCTGCACCCAGGGTTTCGGATTCGGGTTTGGGGGTTGGGGTTTGGGGTTTGGGGTTTAGGGTTTAGGGATTCGGTTTTAGGGTTTAGGTTGCAGGGTGGCGTCTAAGCCCGAAACAGATGCCTCCAAAAGGAGGAGAGGGCCTACCACCAGGACCTTTCGGGCGTGTTCCCCCTTTATACTAACAGTCCTGAATAGGGATTACAATGGGGCTACGATTATCCCCATGAAGGATTGTAGCATTGCAATGTCTGAGTCCTAAGCCCAAAGCAGTAGAAGAGCCTTGCAGAGACGGGCACAGACTATTATCAAGAAAGAAGAGCATGAGGGTTTGAAAGTTTGGGGTGGGGAGCCGCCAGTTGCGGGATAAATCTTGTACTTGCTATTGGCTGCGCGAGATGATTGTCAGGTCTTCTTGCGATTCCTTGTGCTTGAGGGCTGTGAAGAATAGGCTCCCCCCCCTAGCACCCCCCCCTTCAGCAGAATCATCTCAGGCTGAGAGCAAAGTGGCAGCTGCCACATGGCCGCTTTCTACTGCAAGAGCCGCAGCTGTTTTGCCCCGGTTGTCCGTCAGGTCTTTGGTTGCCCCAGCCTCCAGAAGCAAGCGCACGAACTCGACCTGGCCCTCTCTGGCTGCGAACATCAACGCCGTTGGGCCACCGGGGTAGGCGAAGTCTTTGTTGACGCCTGCCTCTTGCTGGCTAAAAAAAGGGAAGAACAATCACCGGAAGAATGATCACCTTCGAGTTTGAAGGGGACTGAACTAAACGAAAAACTGAACAAAGATGAGCCCCCAAACCCTTAAGCCCTGAGCACATATTTACACAAATAAACCCTAAACCCGAAACCCCACCCTAAACCCTAACCCTTAAACCCTTAACCCCTAAGAACATCCAAAACATATGTTACGGGCACCCAACAGCCTCCAGCAGCAAGCGGCCAATATCCAGATCGCCAGTGACCGCGGCGATCATCAAGGCCGTGATGCCTTTTGGGTTCTTCTCGTAGGGTTTAGGGTTAGGGTTTACGGTTTAGGGGTTGGGGGGGGCTAGGGTTTAGAGGCCGTCGATATGGGTTCCTAGAGTAGGGTACAGGGTTTAGGGTTTGGGGTTTAGGGTTTTGGGCTTAAGAAGATGGGTATGAATTAGACCCTGCCAGTAACCTCACTTAGGCGGGTATATGAGGTACCTAGATATGTCCCTGTTGGGATCCAGTACACCCTAGAGCCCTGACCCAAAACACTACGTACCTAAAGGTTGCTGTGTAGTACCTTTTGGGGTAGTATACTAGAAGCCCCTATACCTAACCCAAAGAGAAACTACATTAGCGCCTTTCAGGTACAACCTACACCCTAAACCCTAAACCCTAAACCCTAAGCCCTGAACTTTACGATCACTAGAGCCTTCCTTAAAGAATGTTGTCGAACTCAACTTACTTCTCCAATAACCAAGGGGAAAAAAAGGTTAAACTTGAATATTCCTACTAAAAAAGGAAACCCAAAAAGTTTAAAGTTCAACTAAAGGCTAAGTAAGTCAAAGAGGCCTTGGTCATCTGCCAAATCGGCATTCACCCCAGCCTGGAGAAGCAAGCCTCGGCTTGGGGCAGACAGAATTCTGGCGCCTGTGGGTTTAGGGTTTAGGGCTTAGGGTTTAGGGTTTGGGATTTAGGGTTTAGGGTTTAGGGAGACAGAAATTATGGCAAGAACCCTGCCCTCCTGGAAAAGAGAGCACCAACCGGACAGCTCAGATAGGAGGTAGCTCTTCCCCTACCTTGGAGTAGACCCTGGAAAAAATATGTACGGTTTAGGGTTTAGGGTTTAGGGTTTAGGGTTTCGGGTTTCGGGTTTCGGGTTTAGGGGTATAAGTAGCTACAATAGGAACCCAGAACCAAAACTAGTATTGAAGTGTAGTACTCCAAAACCCAGTGTTTCTTCAACATGACCATCTGAACATCCCAGAAGCTTGCGATCTCTAACTGGCCATAGGCCGCTGCAAGCATGAGGGGTGTGGTGCCGCGGCCATTCGAGAGGTCCATGTCTGCACCCAGTTCCAGGAGCAATTTGACGATGTCCAGGTTCCCTCCTGAACATGTAGGGTTTAGGGTTTTGGGTTTAGGGCTTCTAATGTAGTTCCATTTGGGGTTAGGTATAGGGGATTCTTGTATACCACCCTGAAAAGGTACCACATACATAGGAGCCTGTGGGTAAGGCTTAGGGCTTCGGGTTTAGGATCGTACCCCACTTCGAGCCCTTGGAGCTTTTTCCGTTTGAACACGAACGGAATAGGCATAGCACCCACTAGAGCTAAAGGCAAGCTTGGGTTGGAGAAATACTGTAGTATAATAGCAATGATAACAATAACAATAGAAACAGAAATAATAATAATAATGATAATAACAAGAATGATAATAAATCGAATAACAATAAGATAGTGTGAAGTAATAAATGTATATAGTATACTCTAATATGACATACTCTAATGTTATATGGTATGATACAACAGGAAATTATATATATACATATATATATATATATGTCTGTGATACGCTATGTACATAGCGTGTATGTATATACATATATATATATATATGTATACATATATATATATACATATATATATATGTACAAATATATATATGTTACAAGGTAGAACCGTGTCCTTGAACAGCCTGTCCAAGAGCTGTTCTCTGCTTGCTGTCGCAGCTGGGTAGGTCTTTGCAAGCCCCAGCCTCCAGCAGGAGGGTCGCAATCTCCACGCTCTTTACCTAAAGGGTTTAGGGTTTAGGGTTTAGGGTTCAGGGTTTAGGGTTTAGGGTTTAGGGTTTAGGGTTTAGGGTTTAGGGTTTAGGGTCCCCTATAACTACCCTCCTCAAAAGGGACAACATTCGAGACGCCAGGTACCTCGGTCAGCGGCGTATTGCCGTTTGCATCGGGCAGGTTCGGATCTTGCGGGCGCTGTAATATCTCCTCCACTTTCCTGGGTTGCCCAGTAACCTGGGATTAACCCTAAACCCTAAACCCTAAACCCTAAACCCTAAAGGGTGCCCTTTTTTGCTTAAAGGGGTTTATAAGGGGACCTAAACCTACCAAAAAGGGAGTAAGGGCACTACTGGGCATCCTAGTTTCGCAAGGCAATCATGCTCCACAGCCGCTGTGAGCTCCGCGGCCTCTTCCCTGGAAGAGTCGGAGAAATGTAGAAAAACGACCTGCAAGTCCATGTCCAGATGCAGGGCCATGGTGTCCTCCAAGCTCTTGCCGTTGTGAAGGAGCCTCTGCCTGCACCACTGAACCCCGGAACCACTGAATCCGAAACTTCCCAAAGAAGTGAGCCCGTTCTTTTTAGGCCCAAGCCCCAACCCTAAACCCCAGGCCCCCTGTGCCCCAATGTGCCTGAAACGTGGGATCCCGTAAAGCTGACCCAAGTGTTGCTTCAAGTTCCTGACGGTGCTCATCTCCTCCATCTCCTCCATTGCTTGGTAGCCCAGTAACCGTATCATAATAAGGGTGCGCCCTTTTTGGGGGTTGGCTGCTTTATGAGAGACAAAAACACAAAAAGGGCAAAGGGTATCATTTGGGATGTTCCCCCTTCTACGAACAGTCCCCAACAGGGATTATAGTAGGGCGGCGCACTATAATCCCGATTAAGGACTGTTCGTATAAAGGGGGAACATGCAAAGTAACCGTGTTATAATAAGGCCCCGCCCTTTCTTGGGACCGGCCACTGTACAAGGGAACCTTGAACCTCCCTCCACTTAAACCTTAAACCAGAAACCCTAAACCTAAACCCTAAATCCTAAACCCTAAATCCTAAACCCTAAATCCTAAACCCTAAACCCTACACCGCCCAAAAAAAGAGAAGGGGTAAGGGCATCGCTGCGCTTTCCTCCAGTGGCAGGGTTGCCAGCTCTTGTCCAGCAAGGCCGCAAACGGTCAACATGAGACGTAGAGTCCTTGGAAGGCTTGGACCTCAGCATCTCTGAAAAAACCAATAAGTGCTCTTTAAAACCCTGAACCCTGAACCCTAAACCCTCAACCCTAAACCCTAGACCCCCAACCCTACCTGGAACCCCCCCCAAGTACCTTGAAGATACCCTGTATAAGTACCCCTTATCAAGATACACCCCTTTAAACGGTTCAGGGACTAGGGTTAGGGTTTGAGCTCTATTCCCTGGGGCTTAATAAGAACAAAGACAAAGCAAAGAAAAATCCTAAGGTTCCCCAACCCTAAACCCCAAACCCTAAAACGTTGACGACTTTTTGCTGTGGTGCTGGGCCTGCCAACTCTGCGTGCTCACGGCAACGGCACGGCCCTTTGGGCTGCGCCGATCAGGGCACGAGGTTATTTGGGGTTTATAAGGGTCAACTGAGCCAAGCGGCGGACAGCAAAGGGTCAGAATGCAGATTGACCGCGGGTGGGGTGGAGGGTAGGGGGTCAGGTGTAAAGACAGTGAAGAAAGCTAAGGCCAGTTTGATGACGAAAGATCACCACACAGAAGGTGACATGGGAGTTCCCGACAATCGGGGACCCCGAATATAGACCCCTAAATAGTAAGATTCCCTTAAGATTGCCTTATAATCAGGACCCCCCTCCCCCCATAAAGGTACCCCTCATTTCGGAAACCCCAATGTACATAAAGCGAGCTCGGGATGGCGAGGTCATCATAAACCTTGAACCACTAAGATCAGAAGATCTTGGGATGTTCCCCTCTTAGACTAACAGTCCTTCGTAGGGATTACCTATTATAATAGGGGGTTTAGGGTTTAGGGTTTAGGGTTTAGGGTTTAGGGTTTAGGGGTGCTATAATCCCTGTGTAGGGGGAACATCCCAAAATAGGATCCCACGAGCCCCCCAAAAGTATACCCAAGAACCTGAGACCCAGGTGCCGGACCCGTCAGGCGTGGTATAGGGTTTAGGGTTTAGGGTGGGTTTAGGGTTTAGGGTTTAGGGTTTAGGGCTGAGGGTTTAGGATTTTGGGTTTAGGGCTATCTCCTGTCATTTCTGTGGCTCACTGCGTCTTATGAATCTTCTGATCCTCAGGTATGCATACTATGGGTCGGGATTATCACTAATGGGTATTCCCTCATGGTCCCTTTATAATTCTACCTTAATGACCCCCCCTAAACCCTATTCTAATTATTCAGGCGCCTATATTGGTGCGATTCTGCTGGCCATTGGCTTCAAGTAGTTCTGGCTCCGACAAAGGTCCCTTCATGCAGGCAGACTGGGGTTTAGGGTTTAGGGTTTATACAGGGTTTAGGGTTTAGGGTTTGGGGGCCCGAAAAGGGTGTGTATGCATACAACATCCAACAGATAAGGTTGCATTTCCCTTTTCTTAAGGGTCTCAAGGTTTCTCCTTAAACCCTTTAGAAAAACCCTAAACTAGGATTGCCCTCAAAACCCTCTGAAACAAAATCCTAAATATAGTCCTCTGAAGCCCAATAAGGGAAATACAAAAAGGGCCTACCAAGTAAACCCTAATCTGCGTCAAAGGCGCCAGAGTCTTGAGCAACTTCTGCGGCTCGCAAGACCTCGAAGCTCCGTGTGGGGTCAGGGGGGTGCAGGGCTTGGGTTGAGGGTTTTTGGGTCCGGTGGTTTCAGTGTTCAGGCTTTGGGGTTTAGGGTTGAGGGTCTTGGGTTTAGGGTTTCGGGTTTAGGGTCAGTGTTCAGGATTTATCTGAAGACTCGAATGTAGTTCCTTTTTTGGCTAGCTAAGTTTGGTATACTACACCAAAAAGGTACTACATAGGAGCCTTGGGGTGTAGGGCTTAGGGTTTAGGGTTTCTGAGGTTCTGCACGAGGCTTTTAGAAGAGACCCGCTTGTGCTTTGCGAGGTTGATGAGGTAACTCCGAAAGGAAGAAAAACCATGCCGCCAGCCTGCACTCCAACCTCCCCCACCCCAAGAAAGAAGTAGCTAGACCCCAGAGTAACCTGGAATAACAAGGGTGCCCTTTTTTGGTCTGAAGGGCCTTATGAGTGAACCTGAACCTTAAGAAACGGGAATAAAGGCCCACGCCCGATCCTAGCTAGGTAGAGTTGTAACGACCCGTCAGGGTCTACGGTTGTAAGTTATAGAGCGCGGTTGTTCCAAAAGAGGAATCCTTGGCAATAAAGAGAACTTCCCTTGTTGATGTTGTGGGGTTTCTGTTTAGGGTTGAGGGTTGAGGGTTGAGGGTTTAGGGTTTAGGGTTTAGGGTTGAGGTTCTACCCTAAACCCTAAGCTCAAAAGGCTAAATCCAGGATACTCTAGATTCTGCCCAACAAGCTCTACTACCATATGGTTTATGGACAAACGAACCAGGGCCCTTCAGGAAGAATCTACCGTAAACCTTAAAATCGAAACGCTAAACCCTAAACCCTAAACCCTAAGCCCTAAACCCCAGCCCAGTCGCAAGCTGCCAGAAACAATCAAGCTGCTGGCCTCAATTCTGTGGGGTTGCTGAAATTTTCGGGCGATAGGGCTGAACATGTTTAGGGTTTTAGGGTTGAGGGTTTTAGGGTTTCGGGTTTTAGGGCTTAGAGTTTAGGGTTTTTTGGGTTTAGGGTTTAGGGTTAGGGCTTAGGGTTTAGGGTGTAAAGGTTTAGCGTTCAGGGCTTCGGGTTTGGGGTTTTCTGGATCCTAGCTAGCTTGTTAGCCCTGAACCCTGAAGTACTAGACTGAGGTTGGCAATACTAGGGCTTAGGGTTTCGGGTTGATGTGTGCTGTGGCCTATGGGTTATCCTTGTCCCTAAGCCCTAAGCCCTAAGCCCTAAGCCCTAAACCCTAAACCCTAAAGGCGTTTCGGGTTCTGTGCTTCTGCCTGCGCTTTTCCCCAAGTAGTGGGGCGACACAGCGATGCAAACATTGGGGGGGGGGGGGGGGGGTTGGGGTTTAGGGTTTAGGGTTTAGGGTTTAGGGTTTAGGGTTTAGGGTTTAGGGTTTTGAACCCTAAACCCTAAACCCTAAACTGCCCACTCCGGGGCAGGGCCATCATGTACTTACACGTTTTTGTCCCTCAGGGTTGTGTTCTTGCATCGTTTAGGGCTTGCACGGAACAAGAGAGATTCTGAAAAACAAGAGGTTCTCCACTCAAATATCAAGGTTTCCACAAACCTGTGAGGCTTACTTCTCGCGCCTCTCAGACAGCCCCACTTCGGTAATTGTCTCCACATGTCAGGGGTTTAGGGTTTAGGGTTTAGGGTTTAGGGTTTAGGGTTTAGACCGATGCTCCGATGTCCCTGACTCTCTTGCCGGCAAGCTGAAGATGCCCATGTCAAACCAAATCCGCGAAGCATTTAGGTTTTAGAGTTTAGGGTTTAGGGTTTAGGGTTTGTGGGTGCAGGGTTTTGCTCGCTCAGTTACGAACAGGAGCTGTTTGACGACAATAAAACCCTAGTTGAGATTTAGACCTGAAACTCTAGAACACCATTCCTACCCATGACCTACATATCCACACTTGAGGTTCTCCCTGCACCCCAAACCCCGAACCCTAAAAGGGTGTGGTGCTTAGGGTTGAGGCTTCAGGGGTTCGCGTTTAGGGTTTAGGGTTTAGGGTTTAGGGGTTCGTGGTTTAGGGTTTAGGGTTTTAGGGTTTAGGGGTTTAGGGTTCTACCTACATGCCAAAGCCTAAACCCCTAATTAAAGGCTGTTGGACCAAGCTGCTGGGATGTACTGGTTGTTGCTCCCGGGCGGCATAGTGGAGAACCTCAGGAAAAAAGAAACACTTAAGCTCCCAGTCCAGAAGCCCTTTAAGGGTTCGGGGTTTCGGCAAGAATTAGGAACCCTAAACCCTAAACCCCAAACCCTAAACCCTAAACCCTAAACCCTAAACCCTAAACCCTAAACCGATCAGGGTTTAGGTTCAGGGTAACTGATGTCAACCCGCCCAAACTCGTCTGGTCCTTCTTGCACCGAACTTTGGCTGCTGCTGAAAGGTCCGCCCCGAAAGCATGGCGCCCGAACTGCCACATCGCCTTGAAGAAACAGCCTACCCAGCTAGTCACTGAGTGCGTTGGAGTAGGGTTGAGGGTTTAGGGTTTAGGGTTTAGTAAGGACTGAGGGTCTTATGTGTCAGTGCGCTACCAGCCGGGAATGGGGATCCATCCGAAAGCCGAATCATGCAACCCTAAACCCTAAACCCTAAACCCTAAACCCCTTTGCGTACTGGCACTAGAGTTCTGAGGGACGAATCTAAGGCTTAGGGTTAGGGGTTATACTTCAAGGTTCATGGGTAGTTTTAAGTAGGCTTTTAGGCACCCTGAACAAGTTATAGCCTCCTAAATCCCACAATATAAGCCCAGCCATAACTACCAATGAACCTCCCAAAAAGGACTTCGGGCTTCGGCCCCCTTAGCCCCAAATCCTATAAACCCTAAACCCTAAACCCTAAACCCTAAACCCTAAACCCTAAACCCTAAACCCTAAACCCTACGCCCCCCGAAGAACCGCTTTGGTGACGAGAGCACGTGCTGTCGCTCACTGGCGCTGTCGGCCCATAGTCCCCTCCGAAGCACCTGCCATGCGCAAAGGGTCTTGGGGCTGCCAGCTTCTTGCCCAAAATCAACCCTCTAAAGGCCCTGTTTACAGGGCAGAATATCAACCCTCTAAAGGGCCTGTTTTCGGGGTTAGAGGGTATAATAGCCCATCTTCTTAAACTGAGTCGTTTAGGATTTACGGCTTGGGGTCTTGCAGCGTACAAAAACACTAGCTATACATCCAGCTCAACTCGTCTGACCGATCACCTCTCTTGAACTGTGATGGAGCAGCTACCAGAACCCTCAACCCGACACCCTTTAGGGTTTAGGGTTTAGGGTTTAGTGTTTGGGGTTTAGGGTGGAGGGCAACTGCAGAATGAGGACTTGATTCTTGAGCGACTGAGGGTTGAGGACACGGCGAAAGATGTCTCAACTAACCCTAAACCCTAAACCCTAAACCTGAGGACTACCTAAGGCCAAGCTT